GACCAGCATCATCTATTCAGACCCATGCTGGGAGGACATGTTCCTGGGTAACACAGCTACGCTCTGCAAGTGCGATTCACCTCCTTTCTTTGTGCAATGAGTAGTTTCTTCAGCAGACATTATATAGTCATGTAACAGCGAGGACTTTTAAAGTCATTTCCATCTCTATTATCACACTTTACCTAGCCCTGTGAAAGTCTCAGGGTAGACAGTGATAAAAACATCACTACCTTGGGATTGCCTTTATGCTCATCTTTCTAAACTGGAGTCGTCCCCTCACCCCACCACCATGCTCAGGACTGGGGATTGAACCCAGGGCTTTACCCACATTCTACCACACTGAAGCTATACACCCAGTCTTTTTAAAACTCTGATTCAGGGTCTCACTAAGTTGCCCAGGCTGGTCTCAAACTTGTGATCCTCCTGCCTCGTTTCCCGAGCAGCTGGGATTACAAATGTGCTCCATCATGCCTGACAAGAACAGGGGTTTGTAAAGGCTAACTTTAGTTAATGAAATACAGAGACTGGATTTAATCAGGAAACTTACCAGGCCTAACTCACTGACTACTTTTCAAGTATTTTATTAAAGGGACATTTCAGGGCAGAATAAAGTTCCCCATGGTCCCACCTCATCATTCCTTCCATCTGTCCTCTCACAGCATTAACTGATAGGTAATCTGGGTGGAGCATGGCGGGAGCCTGAAACATTCTTTGGTCAGTTTCAAGTCCAGTGCAGTATCCCACCACCCCAAGTCACAGAATACAGGGGAAAGCATCCAATACTCTGCTATAAACTAACACTATAGCCCTTCAACATGGCTTGGAGTAATGAGCAGAGGGGATGAGGAAAGGCGGCCAGAAGAACCAATTATGTGGATCAGTGAAGATGTGGTCTGGCCCCCTGTTCATGACAAACTTGGGACCTCTGTATCTAACTTTCTGAATGCCAATCACCAATTATGGGGCCTCCAGAAAACCCTATTAAACTCACACAAATTCTCAAAGTGCAAAAACTTGGCAAAATAGAGCACCCAGGCTCTATTTTCTTTATCACCACTGTCCAATCAGGCAGATGTGTTAAGATGACCTTCAGGAGATGCCACATATAACTGGGATGAACCAGCCACCCCTCATGCATCCTGGCACCCAAACCCTACACACCTTTACTTCTTACATGCTCAGGACCAGCAGAGTGTCATCATACTCTAGACACAAACGAATCTTTCACTGACTGATTATAAAAGAAGATCAACATCATTTACCTTCACTTTATGATTGTGCAAGTGCTGCCTATGGTGTGTCAGATCACACTTTGGGCTCAACAAGTCCAACACAGTAGCTACAAGCACAAAATTTCCTTCAATCAGGCCCAAGAAGTTCTCTCTAAATAATGTCAAAATTATTCCTAGGTTTAGGCTGGTATTCCTTCACCCCTTTCCAGGGAATTTCTGATTGCTGTTTCCTTTTTTAGAAGATTCTTTCCCACACCAAAAGTGACTTTCAGATCACTGAGAAGATGCTTGGGTATGCATGCTAGACAAGAGCTCTATCACACAGTTACCCCAACCCCCCAGGAAACTTTCTGGCAGAAAACTTCCTACTCCACTTTAAGGGACCATGTTTCCCAGCCTCTGCACTGCTGTCCTTGAAGATCTCTCACCCCATCTTCCTTCTCATGCACATACTCATTGCCCCCGCTGCACCCTCAGTGACCTCCTCAGGACTGTATACAATATAAAGTGATTCCTTAGGTCACTAACACTGTCTTTGTATTTGACTAGTAGCTTCGCTGGATTGAGAATTCTGGTTAGCTGGGCGTAGTGGCGCACATCTATAATTCCAACTATTTTGAGAAGCTGAGGCAGGAAGCAGACCCACACTCCTCCACGGGGACTGGGACCAAGTAGCACACAGCAAGTCTGAGGCCCATCTGGGAACTAGAGTAAGATCCTATCTCAAACAGACAGGGCTGGGATTATGGCTTATTGGTAAAGCGCTGGCCTAGCATGTGTGGGGCACTGGGTTCAGTCCTCACCATCACATTAAAAAACCAACCAACCAACCAACCAACGGATAAACAAAAAAAGCTAAAAAACCCAAAGAGGTCTGTTTATAGGCTGGGAGTGCAGTCAGGGCAGAGCACTTCTGCAGTACACATGAGGCCCTAAGTGTGATCACCAGCACCAAACCAAACACCCTTTCATGTTTACAGTCATTGTTCCTCTCAAACACGGCCTTCCTGTCTTCTATTCATCCTTCAGTCTACTGGTCTTTTGTAGATGGTCTTTTTTCCCTAGAAGTTTTCAGGTTCTTTAAGTGTTTTGAAATTTCATGAGTGGATGGCTACTTGGTACTACGTCCCAGTTCCCTTTCTACAGAGGATGTTTGAAGATAGCCCTGGGGCAGAAAGACCAGGCTGCCTTTGAACAGCAGCATGTGTCCTGGCTTTTCTGTTCAGAGGACTGTGGGAACAGGGCTGGCAAGCCATCCTCTTGGCTGCCCCAATCCTCCTGGGACAGGTGAACAATGATATGGGTCACCAAACCCTAAATACTTGTGGTGCTCACCACCCCACATTTTGTTCCCTAGCTGTTGAAAGCCTTCAGCACACCACCAAAATCCTTTCCTGTTTCATGGAAAGGTTTATGTTCCTTCCTCACTGCACTTGACCAACTGATCCTTCTACTCTCACAGCTTCTTTCACTTAAGACTTTGCAGCTGGGTCTTTTTTCCCCCAAAGCTATTTAACCACTTTCACATTTCTAGCCATCCCTCATAAAGGACCCCCAGTCCTTACTTCCTTCCCAGCTCCTCCCAAGGGCTGAGGTGTAGCTTGGTGGCAGAGCACCTGTTTAGAATGCAGGGAGCCCTGGGTTCTTCCCTAGTACTGCACTGCACACAGCCAAACAAGAACAACAGTAATTTTTTTTAAATGCTAAAATAACCCAGGATGTTTTATTAGCATCTAAAACCAAACAATGACTGCATCTGAACTCCAAATCAGAAACTTTCCCCAATCTCCCCCATCATCCAAGAAGTGAACATTTAACATCAATTTTTTAAAATATTTATTGTTTAGTTTTCGGTGGACACAACATCTTTATTTTATTTTTATGTGGTGCTGAGGATCGAACCCAGCGCCCCACGCGAGCGCGCTACCGCTTGAGCCACATTCCCAGCCCCATTAACATCAATTTTGATTTTTTTCTTTTTTGTCCCTCCCATATACAGACGATCTGGCCCTAATTCTGTGACTTCTTTCACTGTTGACCACATTCTAGCTCAGGCCTTGGTTTGCTCCTGCTCAAGCACCATCCCCCATGTCCTGGGTACACCAGCACCAATTCAGCCTACAAAGTGACGCTCTCATTAGCTCCATCACCCAGATCACTACTTTCAAAATCTTTAGCAGCTGCCCAATGTACACTAAAAAAAAAAAATCCACAGATCTTGGCCCAGTATTCATAGACCTTAATGACCTGATTTCAATTTTACATTTTGGTGGGTTTTTCCAGTCATTTCCCTCAAGTGTCCTAATTCCCAGGCAAGACTACACCCTTTTCTGTGTACCTTTCTACTGTGTCACATTGTTCTAGCATGCAGGTTCCACCACTAAAACTGTTCAAAGCTCAAATCAAATGCTGCCCCATCCACAAAACTTCACTGATTCCTCTGTTCAAGTATCCTCACAGATTCTGAGCACATAAAAGCTGACTTTTCAGATTCAATTTTTATCTGTAATTTTTCTGAGGGAAGAGCAGTTAATATCTGATTCATAACTATCTGAAATATGAATGGCAATAAAAGTTGGGATTCAATGTCATTAACAAAAGCATAGAGCCTTAACTGGGGTAAGCCATGATAAATGAGAAATAAACTAAATGTGCATATTTCCTATAGCTACAGTTTAACTGGAGAGAAAGGGACAAGAACCCCTTTATGAAAACAAAAAGATCTGACAAGCAGGAAAACAGGTTCAAGTGGTCTGAGTTGCCCAACCAGTTCTCAGAAGGGTCAGAAGAGGAAGGGAGGTGAGGAGGGGAAACTGGGTTGCCCTGGTCTCCCCTTGCTGCTCTGCTCTCAAGAGACAAGTTCTCTGGTCACAGAGGGTACAGGACCAGAGATGTGTCTTCATTCCTGATCCCAACCCTTGTATATATTTCTGGGGTTGTTCCAGGCTCCATTCAAGCTCAGGGAAAGGGATCAGGCCTTCTGTGCCAGTTTATTAATTTCATTCTATTTGCTCCCCCCGCCCCCATTACTGGAACTGAACCCAGGGGCACTCTACCACTGAGCTACACCCCCAGCCCTTTTTATTTTTTATTTGCCAAGGCTGGCCTGGTACTTGGTATCCTCCTGCCTGAATGACTGGGTTTACAGGTGTGCACACTGTACCTGGCTTTACTTAAAATTTTACATTTTTGTGGGTTTTTCCATATCCTTATAAAACCTACCAACCAGTAAAACAAGGCCACATCTAGTGGTTTCAGATCCTGACTGTTCACCTTGAATAGTCACAGGGTTCTGGCCACAAATATCTGACATCTCTTTCAGCCATGCCAGCTCCAATTAGCAAAACAGGGAGAGCTTAACTGATGACACATGCTGCAACAGGAACTGATGAAAGCCCTTCCCAGGGTCCACTGAACAGATCTAGTATAGACCCGGGTCTTCTGCAATGATTCTTCTGCAACACACCCAAACTTAAAATGCATACAAAGAGGTCAGGAGGCTGAGTCTGAACAGGCCCCTCAAAACAAACTACGTGCAATTATATCTACATCCAAGCAAGGCCAGTTATGGAATTAAAGAGCATTTGCCTCATCTTACTATTACTACTTACTACTACTCAATTACTATTAAAAATAAAACTGCTTTTGTTTTCAGAAGTTTCCCTAGAGAAAGAATATAAATCACCACTGTGACTTGGGCATAGAAAACCACAGATGTCAAGAAAGCACTTTCTATAATGAAAAGGAAAGTAAAGTTCTCTAACTTACCTAGCAAATTCTGCCAGCTGTTTTGGATCTGAGAGGTCAATGCCAGGGATTCCTCCAGGAGGGAGTTTCTTTCCTGTCATATACTCTGAATAATCAGGAGGCGAGTTCTCTCCAATGATCTGTTCTTCAACCACTGTCTCATGGTCAATATCTTTTTTTTCATCTGAAACACATCATGAAATTGATTATCTTAGCTGAGTAAAGACATTTTTAAAGGATTTAAAAGGTATAAAAATTGCTTTCACTAGCACCTTCACCTTCTTAGATTACAGCTATCACCTCAATTTCTTTACAGCTCATTCCTTGTCCTCAATTTTTTGAACTCCTATTTCTCCTTGAAGATCACCAGCTCTGTTTAGCCTCTCTGAAGGACTTGCTTTCAGCATCTTTGTTGCTGCACTGGCCTGGGTGACCCCACTTCTCAAACATCTGTTTTTATCCACTGCTGACTACCAACGTGGTGATGCAAATAAAATCTCATTTCCAACCTCTCAACTGTTAGCAAGCCTCTGGTCTACCCTTCCGGCCTCCTCATCCTTCCTCCAAGGATCCAACTTCACAGGCTTTACCCATGCAATTTCTAGAGTTTAAGTGTAATTACAACCATGTGATTTTCCTCAGTCTCTCCCACTAAACTGTGAGTTGGAGGAGGACAGGGAAATTAGTCCATTTTGACCCCAAGGGCCCCAGAACCTTACTTAAAGGCTGGCCTTCAATAAATTGTGTTCACAGAATGAAGGATAGCTCTACTTGTATAATTTCAAATCCACGAGGCTAAAAAAGCAATGCTGACCCCATAATTGATCTTACTTTTGCCTTTGAGGCAAACCCTTCTATTTGCTGTCTGGGCGCTGCACTGGCTGGTTCCATTTTAACATGTTTTCTACTTCTCCCTTGCACATGCCCTCTATTTTCCACCCATTTTTCTCACGGGTTAATTTGCAAGTACCTGGGGGAGAATTCAATAAATCCAAGGCCCCCACACCTCTCTCATTTCCTTTCTCAAAATCCAGTCTCCTTTCAGAGCCTCACCCAAATCTTTAAGGCTTACTGATTTCGATTACTCCAGCCTTACATTCCCACTCTTTTTTCCAAATCCGAGATCACTTCCTCATAATACTGACAGATCATATACCATTCTGCTTTATTTTTTGGGGGGGACTGGTCCTGCCTCTTAAATTAGAGCAGAAGAGCCCAAAGTCCAAACACAGTTTTCTATTACCTTCTTCTCCCCTCTTCTACTTTCATGCTTAAAGCAGAAAGTAGGGGCTCCATAATCAATGCTGAAATTTTCGGCTTTTCTATTAAAATGTGTTCACAAAGATCAGGAATATAAGATCTTCCAAAAGTGTTAACTCTTACCTCACATTACCATACCACCAGTGTTAAAAAAACAATACCCCTCAAACAAAAAAACAAACACAACCCTTAAGATTGATGTCACTACCAAAACCATATCCGCTCACTAATGTTAGTGCACAGGCAATGAATAAAAGAAAACACAAACACAGAATGAGGTTTGATTCAAGTGGTCACTATCAACTTCAATATCCAGCAACAAAAAGTACAGAATACAAAAAAATTTAAACTTAAAATCACAGAATAGCAGGTTACATTTTCTTGAATGTTTATGTAGGACTATTTTAATCACTTACACATCCCCCTATGAAGTGGGTGAATAAAAGATCGGCAAACTTCATTTTACAGAGAACTGAGGAACGAGGAGGGTGAGCAACACGTTCAGGATCAATTGCCTCACAGCAGGTGTGAACTCACGAGATCTAAATTGAAGATCATGCTACTTCCTGTTAGGAACTAGAAAGAACACTAGGAATAACATCCTTCAAGGTTATCCTCAATGTACAGATAAAGAGTATTGATCAATGGATGGATGAAGGGGACTAAGGAAAGAATAGCCGAATGTACTGAAAGGACAGGAAGGGCTTGTCAGCTCTCTGGAGTTTTTATTTTTATTTTTTTAGTTGTCAATGGCTCTTTATTTATATGAGATGCTGAGAATCAAACCCTGTGTCTCACACATGCCAGGCAAGTGCTCTACCACTAAGCCACAACAACCCCAGCCCCTCCAGAGTCTTTATAAGGGCACTAATCCCATTCCCTAGGGCCAAATAACCTCCAAGGCCCCACCCCCTAACCCACCACATAAAGGATTAGGATTTCAAATCATGAAACTGGGGAAGAGGGTCATTCAACCCCTACAAAGTGCATGTAGCTCCGTGGTAAAACGCTTTGGGTTCAATCCCCAGTACCTGGCCAGTATGAGGTGGGGGGGGACAGGAAGCGGGGTGTGGATGCACACCTGTAATCCCAGATACTGAGAGGAGGCTGAAGAAGGAAGAATTTGAGGCCAACCTGGGCAAATTAGCTGTGTCAAAATAAACAGGGCTCAGCATGTAGCTCAGTGGGAAAGCTAGCTTGCCTAGCATGCACAAGGCCCTGGGCTCAATCCTTGGCAGTGATGGTGGTAGGTGTCAGGAAATGTGGTTAGTGATCATCAGTTACAAAGCACAAACTCTGTAACCAGATTTAACCATTTCATCCTCATTCTCAAGCCTGCCTGGCCTTTTATATACCCTTTCACCCTAATGTCTCTAACTCAGGCACATCCAAACTTTCAAGTGATACAGAAACACAGTCATGGGCAGGGAATCTACTTTATTCATATTTTACATTTCTGCTATAAGACCCCATGCACGTGTGATGGCACACACCTGTAACCCCAGCGGCTAAAGAGACTGAGGCAGGAGAATTGCATGTTGGAGGCCAGTTACAGCAAGTAAGATCCTGTGTCAAAATTTTAAAAAGGGATAGGGATGTAGCTCAGTGATAGAGCACTCCTGGGTTCAATCCCTACCTAGTACCGCCACTACAAAAAAAAAAAAAAAAAAAAATTTGAGTCTCAGCAGCTAGCCTGAACGAGATGTTTGAGCCCATTCTAGCTGCCACCCCCCACACACAAACACCTCCACCACCAACAAAAACAACAACTGGACATAGTGGCACACGTCTGTAATCTCAACCACGCAGGAGGATCATGAGTTCAAAGCCAGCATCAGAAGCATAAAAAGGGCAGGGGATATGGCTCAGTGGTAAAGCACCCTTGGTTTCAATCTTCAATACCAAAAAGAAAAGAGAACAAAACAAAAAACCCACAACAGACTGGGTGGCTTCTATGACATTTGCTTCCCACAGCATGGAGGTTGGATTAAGACCAGGGTGCCAACATGGCTTCACTCTTCACACTGCATCCTCACCAAGCAGAGAGAAGGTCTGCAATCTCTCTGGAGTTTTTTGGTTGTTGTTGTTTTTTAATAAGGGCACTAAATCCATTCCCTAGGGCTCTGCTCCCAGACCAAATCACCTCCCCAAGGCCTCACTTCCTAACCCATCACATAAAGGATTAAGATTTCAAATTATGAAATTTGGGGGAGGGGGCACTGCAGAGAGCATGACTCAAGTGTGCTAAAATAGAAACAAAGTGCTTGATTAATACTACCATCAGTTCAACACATTAACTGAAGGCTGCTTCCTCGGTGCACAGTATTATCAAAATAGTATTATTCTAGGCCCTGGGAACAGAGGTCAGAAACAAGACAAAGTCTCTGCCCTTATGCAGTTTACGTTCTGGCAAGCTAAGTCAAACAAAGAAACACTTCTTGAGGCTCAGTTCGTACCATAACCGTAGAAGCTGGGGTTGTAGCTCACTGTAGAGGACTTGTCTAGCATGTGTGAGGCATGGAGTTTGATCCTCAGCACCACATTAAATAAACAAACAAACAAACAAATAGTATTAAAAAAAAGTATCAAAACCCTAGAGAACAATCACCAAGATAAATAAGATTTAGGGCAAAAGCCTGGTGCACACCTGTAATCCCAGCAACTCAGAAGACTGAGGCAGGAGGATCACAAACAGTGAGTCCCTGTTTCGAAAAGTAAAAAGGGCTGAGGGTGTAGCTCAGTGGTAAAGTACCCCAGGTTTAATTCCCAGCATGTTCACACGCACGTACACACATACACCAGACACAAATGCTGGCTCAGTGGCAGAGCAGTTTAGTTGCCTGGCATAAGAAAAATCAGGGTTCAATCCCCTGAACTGCAATACAGCAAGATAAAAATTAGAATACAAAAATTTAATGAAATATGCCTAAAGCACAGAGGCTGACAAGTACAGTAAATGGGCCAACTCCTGCCAGCCAGTCGCCTCCCCTCCATTTCCTATAGTTCCCTATTCTCTTAAAAGTGGGCCGGGGGCTGGGGATGTGGCTCAAGCGGTAGCATGTGTGCAGCCCGGGTTCGATCCTCAGCACCACATACAAACAAAGATGTGTGTCCGCTGAAAACTAAAAAAAAAAAGAAAGAAAAAAAAGTGGGTCAGGTGCAGTGGTGCACACCTCTAATCCCAGCAATTTAGAGGGGGAGGCTAAGGCAGGAAGTTTGTACATTTGAGGCCAGCCCCAGAGATTTAGCTTTGAGAACTTCAGCAATTTAGCTCAGAAATAAAGCATCCCTGGGTTTGATCCTTGGTACAAGAAAGGGGGGAAGGCAGCAAAAGAAAGGAAGTGTGGTAAGAGGCACATGAATGTAACACTTATCATTCTGACCACTTTTAAGTACACAATTTGGGGGCATTACGCACATTCACAATGCTGCATTCTCATATCTTCTATATACACACATCCCAAAATCTTTTCTTCATCAAACAAAACTGAACCTATTAAGCAGTAACTCCCCTTTCCCTCCAGCCTGCCCGCAACCTCTAGTCTACTTTTTGTCTGTATAGATTTGCTTATTCTAGACACCTTAAATAGGAAGATAATGTATGATTCTACTTATCTAATTTATTTACTTACTTAGGGGAACCTTAGAATCAAACCCAGGGCACACACCCTGCTCTTTGGATTTGAGACAGGATCTTACTAAATTGCCCAGGCTAGCCTCAAATTTTTTATAATCCTGCCTCAGTGTGTATACTTGCTGGGATTATAGGTGTGTACCATGCCCTATTTCACTAAGTCCATGTTTTCAAGGTCTATCCTGTTGTAGCAAGTATCAAAATTGCATTCTTTACTGAGTGTACTTACCATATTTTGTTTACCCATTCATCTGTTGAGGTACATTTGGGCTGTTTCTACCAGCTAGGCA